CTTCATCCTTTGTTACTTTAAAGAGGTGTTCATCTTTTATGTGACTCAAGAGATGTGTTTTTTAATTCTTTCTATTTGTAATCTGTTTATCTGATTGAACCATTATTTTAGTGATCTGAGTTAATCCTCTTTTAGAGGGATTAACAATTGGACGTAAAGTCTTTTGATCGAATCAAGTATAAATACTTGTGTGATCTTCTTTCCTTTTCAAGTGCTTTATTATATTAAAAAAAATAATCAATACTTTTTAATTGGTAAAATCTTACAAAAAATTTTAAATAGCTAATTTTTATAAAAAACTAATTTACTCTCTTAATTTGTGTCTTAACGTCAATATTTTGATGCGCGATAACAACACTTTTTATAGTAGTTTTTGCATACTTGATAAATAAATAATTTTTGTGTAATTTTTTTTAATGATACATGACTTAAAACTATAGTAAAATGTTAAATTTTAGTTTAGATTATAATGAATTAAATAAAAATAATTCATTCAATGTAATTATTTTTTATTTTTTATTAATTGGTATGTTAATATATATATATATATATATATATATATATATATATATTCTGATTTATTTTAAATTATTTTGATGGTGTAATTTATACTAAAATAATATTTTTATTTATAAAATATTTTATCAATGATTGTAAGTAATTTGATTTAAAATGTTCTTAATCTTTTAATTTAGTATACATATATTATTAACTTTATAATAATAATAATAATAATAATATATTATAAATATTAAATTCAAATATAAACAAATTTTAAATCACAATTAATACTTTTTATCAATTGTGTTAAGATATAAAAATCATTATTAAACGTTAAATTTAAGTATTATAAAAAAGTAAAATAACATATTTTTGTAAATTAGAGGATTAAATAACTATTTTTTAAACATAAGGACCACAATTAAATGCCACAAAAATTATAATGATAAAAACATATTTAAATCCTTTAATTTATTCGCCTATTTATTAACTGAATATTTATTTTAAAATATTATATCATTCAAATATTAATTTTTATAATTTAAACAAAACTTCTATATAATCGAAAAGAGAAGTATTTAGAAATTACAAATCTTAGTAAAAAAATATTTTTTAAAATATATAATATGAATAATTCACTTCAATCTAACCCCATTAGATATAAATAAAATTGGATTGGGTAAAACCAAATTTGTAAAATCTTAATCCAACCAAATCCAAAATATTTCAAAAGAATTGAATTATAAATTTTACTAAATAGATCCTAACCTAATATTAATGATTATATATATATATATATATATATATTTGTATTTATAAATTTAACTTATTATCTTTTCATATATATATATATATATATATATATATATTTGTATTTATAAATTTAACTTATTATCTTTTTTCATATATATATATATATATATATATATTTATTATTTATTAATAATATATTATTTGCCCCTCAAAATTAATGGTAAAAATCCATCAAGATAACCCATTTACATATTTACATTACAAAAAAAAATTGTTTAATTATTCTCTTAAAATATTTTTTAAAATTTAAAAATCAAAACTAATAAAAGGAATTTTTTTTAGGATAGTTTTCTGTTTTTATTAAGTATCAACATTTTCTCTATTAATTAAATTAAATCATTTATTATAATTACCATGAAAATTATTTTTCAATCAAATTTCCGTGGTCATTGATATCATTTTTTAAAATAATTTCAAAAATAAGGTTATTAAAAAATCCACCTATTAAAAATAATTTTTCAAATTAAGTTCTAAAACTATTTTTAAAAATAAAATTAAATCAAACAACATAATTTACTCTTTCTAAAATAACTTCTTCAAAATTAAATATTCTTTAATAATTATAAGGAAAGATATTATAAGAAAAAAATGAAAGAAAAGAAAGAAAAAACTTATTTGTTAAATAATAAAGTAATATAAAAAGGAAAAATAAATACAGTATTTGTAAATCTAATAAAATATAGTAATTATATAATTACAAGATTAATTATTCATTTATTTTGGAGAGAAATAAGATATTAATAATTTTCAAAATTACTCATATTTAAAAAATAATATGTTTCTTCCTCACTTTATTTGTTATCTATTAAAGAAAGTTATGCATCACTACAGAGATGAACACAAATTTAAATAACGACGACTCACAAGTTGAAGCTTGTTTATTTACTATTTTTAAAAATACTTATAAAATTTTAAAATTAAAAAAATTATTTAGTAATTGTTTTGTTAAAAAAATATAAAAAGTATTTATATTTTTTAGTTTTTAACTACTATAAAACCAAAACAAATAAAAAAAGTATTTTCTGTTTTTAGTTTTATGTTTTCAGTAATGATATTTACGTCTTTATCAATATTAAAACTACATAATTTACCGTTTTCACCATGAAGTTATTAAATTTGATTTTCAATTTTTACCAAAATTTGTAATAGTTGTTGATATCATATTTTAAATTGTAATTATTCTTAATTTATTTTGAGAAAAAAAAATCAAAAATAGTATCTAAAATTATTTTAAAAAACTGAAAAAACAAAATTAAATCATGTTCATACTTATATGTTTTTTTTTCTTCCTAAACATTCATTTTAAACTCACAAAGCTATTTGGAATGAGGTCATGGATTTTTTCATACTTGGGACGAAGACATGGAAAGTAAATGCACGAATTAAAGTGAAGTAAATGAATGTTTACAAAATAAATACATAAAATTAATGAAAAAATTAATTGCTGGAATGTAAACGGGCGTATGGAAATAATGAAGAAGAGTAAATGCTTGAGTTTAAATGAAAGCAAAAATAAATGCATAATTTAAATGAAAGAAAACAAATCAAATGTGACGAATAGTCATGAATGCAAATGAGCAAATAAAATAGATTTCTAAAATGAAATATTATTTTGAAAATTTTGGTTTTATTTTTATATGTTTATAGCATATTATGATTGTAAAAAAAATTTGAATTCATGTACATAGTTAATCATTGATTAAATTAAAAATTATTTTACTTAAATTGATAATTTAAAAAAGAAACAAATTATTTCTAAATTTCAACAACTAAAATTTTCGTTATTAATTAAAATTTAGACTATAATTTAATAATTTTAAATATAATTTTTAATTTATAGTTAAAACTTTGATAATTAAAATAGAGATTAATTTAAATTATAATTCAGAAACTAATTTAGAGAAAATAGTTTTTATTTAAATTACTATAATGAATAAATATTTATTGTCTTTAATTAGTTAATATTTAATAATTTTTTTGTAATAATATTTTTTCCTAATTTTTTTAGTTTTATTTTTTAATATGTTTTTTTTCACATAAGTATAAGTTATTTTAGTTATTAACTAACCCAATTGGAATTAGATAAAATTGTTTTTTTAGCAAACCAACTCAACTATAACTAGGTTCAGTTGAGTTAGGTCATGATGTAAAGTAATTAAAAAAAAATCAATACTTTTTATATTTATAATTCTTACAACTGACGTACTTTAATATCCATATAAATAATACTTTTTATAAATCAAATAAAGACATATTAATAATTGAAGATAATTATGATACTATAAACATAAATGAATATTACGTACCATAGTCGTTTAATATATTTTTTAAAATACATAAAATACTTTGAATAAATTGTTTATATTAATCTTGTTATTCTTATAATGTTACATAAATTAAACACTCTACACCAAAATTCATTTTAATTATTAAAATGAATAGTTAACTTGATTTTGTGAATTTTATAATTGATCTCATATTAATACCTAAATAATTTTATATGTAATTTTGTTATAAAAAACATTTTTCTTTAAAGCAATATTATTTATGTAAGGAATGTATGTCATTTGTTCTCGTCAGAAAATTCACTAAACAGCTTTTGCAAGTAAATGTATTAATATAATATTAGGTATTGACAAAAACAAATAATTTCATATGTTCGAGTAAGAAAAAGAAAAAAAGAAAATAAACATCAGATATCAGAATCAAAACTTCTTCATTTTACATTAATAAAAAATATATTTAATACTAATTATTATTTACATCCAAATTCAATAATTAAATACATAAATTTTACAAGATATATTTGCTTAAATGTAATAAAGGCACTGTAAACAGCAAACAGCTAAGTGATTGTTATTTTTCCGAAAAATCTCTTTTTTTTTTTTTTTTTTCATGATGCTTTTGCATAGACCAAATCATGTGAAAAGGTAAATTATAAAAATTGAACATTCTCTTAATTGTTTGATTGAGAAGATCGTTTTCTACTATAATTTAAAAAAAGAAAAACTTTTAATACGGATTTTATATTTTTAGAAAAAAATAACCTTTGGAACGTGGCTAATCAAAACCAGAGAACAAAACAGGGGTTAAACACTAAACCTGCGTAAATAACTTAAGCTGAGGTAAGATCATGTTCCTACTAATTAAAATGACTACATTAATAACTGTGAAGACGAGTGAGATCAGAGACCCAAAACAATAAATGAAAATAAAAATAATAGTGATAATAATATAAGAAAAACGTGTAGCAGAAAAATCTACCACCAAAACATGACTATAAAGGACCCCTTTATCTCTGCATCCATTGCCCCTCTCACAACACTCTCTCTCTCTCTCTCTCTCTCTCTCTCTCTCTCTCTCCTGTTTCTCTCTCTCTTTCACTTTCTCTGGCTAGAATGCCTCTATTCTCCTCTGTCGGTCACACTCTGATAGAAGGATTATAGAGAAGGGAAGCATTCATAGGCGCCAATTGTGAGAGAGACACTAGAGAAAGCAGAGAGAAACTTTTTTCCAAGTTTGGGGGAGAGAGATCTGCACCATAAGTGTCATTCCCAACAAGGGCATTGCAAATTTTTATTGCCATTTCAACCCCATACAAAAAGCACACACCTTCACTCATCCACAAAACTTTCACCCTTTCTACTGTCATCTATCTTTCTCAGAACACAGACCCAGTTGCGAAAATGGTTGATTCTGAACCAAAGTTCTTCATCCCGGAGTCAATCCAGGGCGTGAATTTCGACGTGACGGCGCAGTTGAGGATGGTGTGGGAGGTGATAAAGGCGCCGCTGATCGTGCCGCTGCTGAACGTGGCGGTGTACATTTGCCTCGCCATGGCCCTCATGCTCTTCATGGAGAGGGTCTACATGGGCATTGTCATCATCCTCGTCAAACTCTTCTGGAAGAAACCCCACCAACGCTACAAGTTCGAACCCCTCCAAGAGGATGAAGAACTCGGCAACACCAATTTCCCCGTCGTCCTTGTTCAGATTCCCATGTTCAATGAAAGAGAGGTCCGCAAGTTTCTCCCCTCCTGTCTCTCTCTCTCTCTCTCTCTCTCACTTAAATGTCTTCTTCTGCAAATCTTTATTCTCCATGTTTACTCCTTATTGAAGATCCACATTGGTGAATAATATAATTAAAACAGTGTATATAAATGATTGAGTATTAATCCTGCTTGGCTGTTACAATGTCGTGTGTTTCTGGATTTATGCAAGCTTCGAAACCGGTGTTTGTTGCTAAACGTGTTCATTATTGGGTTTGGTTAATCATTGGTTCAGGTGTACAAGGTGTCAATTGGAGCAGCTTGCAATCTCTCATGGCCTGCGGATCGTCTCGTGATCCAAGTGCTTGACGATTCTACTGACCCTACCATCAAGGTATCACACACGGTTTTAATCTTTCTTGTCACAATTTTCAGTTTAATTTTGAGGTATTAATGCGAAAGAGTTGTATAATTGTGTTTGTGTATTATTCTTATTATTATTATGTTGTAGTTCTAATATATGGAGTGGGTGCATTTATGATTTGGAGGGTTTGGTGAAGGAATTGAGTATTGGGTGTGAAATTTTTGAAATTGTGATTGCAGCAAATGGTGGAGATGGAATGCCAGAGATGGGCAAGCAAAGGGATAAACATAACATATCAAATCAGAGAGACTCGAGGGGGGTACAAAGCTGGTGCTCTAAAAGAAGGCCTAAAACGAAGCTATGTCAAACCTTGCGAGTACGTGGCAATTTTCGATGCTGATTTCCGTCCAGAACCAGATTTTCTCAGACGTTCCATTCCTTTCTTGGTGGGCAACCCCGACATTGCTCTTGTTCAAGCTCGTTGGAGATTCGGTAAATAATTATTAATCCATTCACCAAAGTAAGAAAACAAAAACATTTCATCAATTCTTAGTACTAATTTGAAGTACTTTGTTACACGGTTTTTCTTTTTAACACCCACCAACTTTATTTCTTACACAACTCGTAAGTGTCGGTGCCATTTAAATTGGTTTGTTTTAATTGGAGAAAAAATATTTATTATGTGGACTTTCACTTTCTCCTTTGTCCCGGTTTGACCTGGCTAGCCCACGAAAACAAACCTTCAATCACGGGTGGGGACCACCAACGAGCCAGTGTGAAGGATGTCTCCTTCCCATAAAAAGTGAAAAAAAGAGTGTCAAGAAGAAACAAATAAAAAGGGTCACTCTTTTTCTTCTACTCTTGGTGCCAGCTCACAAAAATCTAACCTTCCATTCCATCGTTAATGCACACACCCAAATATAACAAGAATCGTAAATGGGGTTTGGGTGAGTCATAACTTTTTATTTGCCTTGTGTTTCTTCCGAAATTTTGCCAGAGCCAATTAGGGTTTTTTTATTAAGGGATTAAGTGAAGAGGGGGCAATTTAGTCAATTTAAGTGGAGTGGATCAAATTTGGTATACTATCTTATCTTTCCACATCTTACAAAAGCGTGATTGTGGGTTAAAAACTTGGTGCAACTCAGTATATATAAGTTTCAAAAATGGTATTAAATCTATCTTTCTTTTTGTGGGGTTTAAAGAGCGACCCACGTAGTCTGACACATTTTTATCACTCTAGGGCAACAATTTGGGGAAGAACATAGAACATGATGGGAGGGGTAAAATTGTCATTTTCTGCATCCATCCAAACTTCAAAGTTCCCAATCCAGCGAACCCACTTCCCACGTGCTTTTGCAGTATTTTTTGGGTTTATATAAAAAACTAAGAAAAAATGAACAGTGAGGGGAGTACCATGTGCCTAAAGGTGGACCTTACCCTTCCTTGCCGACACTTCTCCAATTCCCCTTCTCTTTTATTACATCACTTAAGCTAAAAACTTCAATCAAATCAATAATAAACTTAGCTAGCTAGAATTTTTTTTTAATATATATATATATTAATTAGTAGAGTTATAATACATTATTTTTGCTCATACATTATTGAACAAGAATTAGTGTTAGTTTATTTAAAGCTACAAATCCACTCACATCCTCAAACTAAATTAGTTTTAGCAACATTTATTTGCAAACAAAGAAATTAATGCTGTGACATGTGCAAGTGTGGGGCCATAGCTGACTTTTGCTTTATTGTCCCTGTGATCCGCCACTGTAACGGCAAGATGGGGTTGTTGCAATTCTGTGCACTACTTATCTGAAAAAGTTAATTCAGTAAAAAGTAAAATCATATGATAACAAGTCAAAAACTTTCTTTTACCCTTTTAAGTAGTTCATACAGATTGTTACTTTACTACTCATTTAATCATTTTCACCTTTTAATTTATAAAGTTAAGCATGATAGATGAACTGTTAATAGTAGGAAAGTGTTTTACTCACATTTTTTTTTTTTTTCATTATTATTTTGACAGTGAATGCTGATGAGTGTTTATTGACAAGAATGCAAGAGATGTCCCTGGACTACCATTTCACTGTAGAGCAAGAAGTTGGGTCAGCTACTCATGCTTTCTTCGGTTTCAACGGTAATTCATTTGACTTCTTTCTACTCTTCCAAACATGTTGACCTTATCTACTTCAACATATAATGTGACACATGTGTTGCATAGTACATGGTCAAAGCTAAGGTGATTGATAGGTTAGTGTTGCAAGATGATCATTTACTAAGAAAGTTGCTGATTGGGGACCTTAATGCAGGAACTGCTGGTATTTGGAGAATAGCTGCTATTAATGAAGCTGGAGGGTGGAAAGACAGAACAACAGTGGAAGATATGGACCTTGCTGTTCGTGCCAGTCTTAGGGGATGGAAATTTTTGTACCTTGGAGACCTCCAGGTGAATCAATGTTGCATCTACTCGTTAATACTTCCCAAGTTAACAATTAGTATTTTGCATGCAACTTATGGATAATATGAATCATGTGATTATGAATTATCAGTTCAAATTTTTCTTATACTAAGTAACCTTTTTTTATAATGGTGCTTTGCATAGGCCAAAAGTGAGCTTCCAAGTACTTTGAGAGCCTTTAGATTCCAGCAGCACCGGTGGTCTTGTGGTCCTGCTAATTTGTTCCGCAAAATGGTTATGGAGATAGTAAGGAACAAGGTAAGTACTTATATTCTTTGTACTACATATACTGAGGGGTAAAGGGACAATGTAAGTATTTCCTTGTATGTTCTGATGTTTTGTTTTGCAAACATTTCTGCAGAAAGTTAAGTTTTGGAAGAAAGTGTACGTTATATACAGCTTCTTCTTTGTTCGCAAAATCATAGCTCACATGGTCACCTTCTTCTTCTTCTGTGTTGTGATTCCCCTCACAATCTTGATCCCTGAAGTTCATGTTCCAATATGGGGAGCTGTTTATATTCCTTCTGTCATCACCATTCTCAATTCAGTTGGAACACCAAGGTATGGTTTGCGCTTGCTTTTAACAATTTTTTGTCATACATGTTATAGACTTATAGGCATAGTTAGTCCATTGATTTGTTCTAAAAATTGTGTGCAACTTTGGCAGGTCCATTCACCTTCTGTTCTATTGGATCCTCTTTGAGAATGTGATGTCTTTGCACCGTACCAAGGCAACATTTATAGGTCTCTTAGAGTATGGGAGGGCTAATGAATGGGTTGTGACTGAAAAACTTGGTGACTCTGTCAACAGTAATAACAAGAATAAATCAGGAGATGCTGCCAAGAAGAATAATGTCACCAAGGCCCCCAAAAAGACTCGATCCAAATTTGTTGAAAGGTCAGTTTCTTCATTTATTTTTCATTTCTTTCCAGAGCAAATAATTGTGTTTGCATTTGGCATTAATTATGGTTTCTTGTCGACATCTTGATTGTGAATTTGTGATTGTCAATCCTGTATACACTGGCATAATGGAGATGCGTTCTAGACTTTTTGGCCAATAATTTAATGATTGCAAGGAAATAATTTTATAGGTTCCTACTTATTAGTAAGTAATTTTTAGTTATTCTTCATTGTAATAGTTAAGATTCTCTTCGAGTAGGTAAGCATTTATTTGAATTCTTTTTAATTCCATATTCAAATCAACAGCATGCCACCCTAATGAAAACGTTTCTGTCACATGCGCATGAATATGACAGAAGATTATGGAAAACACACATCAACATAATTTTAGCATGAACTCAAAACATGTAATCAAGGAGAGTTATGTCCCACTTTTCTGCTCCATCATTATTAATCAAATATAGACCATGTTAGAAATAATTCAGAATGTACTTACTGTCTTAACCAAATCATGCTTTACATTATTGAGAGGTACCATATGTACTTAAAGGTCTTAAATTTTTTTCATTTTTTTTTAGTACCAAAGTCTCAAATTTTCTCATATCATACCCCCAATTGCAAGGAATATCCACCTTTTCTAGAAAATGGTTGGATTTTAGATGGGTAGAAATATATATATATATATATATATATATATATATATATATATATATATATATATATATATATATATATATATATATATATATATATATATATGTTCTTGTTCATCTTTTTCTTCTCTGTTGTCTAATTATGATTTCTTTTCTTGTTTGAACATGAACACAGACTTAATTTACTGGAGCTGGGATTTGCTGCATTCCTCTTCTTATGTGGGTGCTATGATTTTGTGCATGGGAAGCACAACTATTTCATCTACCTCTTCCTTCAGACCATAACATTCTCAATTGTAGGATTTGGCTACGTTGGCACCATCGTGTAAAGCTCATTGAGCCAAATTCTCAAGTTACTTAAGTTTCATCAGTGTTGTGTCCATATTTTTTTCTAGTTTCTCCTCAAAAAAATACATCAAGGGGGGGTGATTTCTTGAAGCAACAAAAGCTGTACCAAAGCATCTACAGCTAGTTTAAGCAAATCATTTCCAATTTGGGAAAGAAATTAAAAGTCCTTTCCAAAATTTCACTGCCATCCATGAAGAAGATACAAATCACAGGCAAATCACTGTTATTACTACATTTGCATCACACAGCCTTGAAGGGCTGCTATGAAGATGTGTACCAAAAAGTGCTAAGTTAGAGCCTTAGACATCAATTAGACAGTGTGATTTTGTTTGCATAGATTGTTTTGTGAGATTTTATAGTTATATATTTCGTGAGTCCTTTATTTGTTAGGTTTGCTTAGTCTGAGCCAAATAATGTGGTGGATAAAAATGCGCTTTTAATTCATGTTATTTCTCATTTTTTTCCCCAAGGAATGAATTTTATTTACCATACATGCAAATGCAATCATTTACTCCTACAAAGAGTTTGAATTTTTTTTTTTTTAATATTAGTAACACACTTTATAATATACAATATGAATTTGAGTTTAATCTCAAATGTATCTTAATGAATACAAAATTTATAATTTTTAATAAACTTCGGTCAAAGGTGACAATTCTTTTAAAAAAATATTCATTCATTTTAAAAAATCTCTCATAAGAAACTGTGAAAAAAATAAAAAAAAATAACTTGGTTACAAAGAGAATATTCCCTACTCACTAGAGCTTTCTCCTACCGACACTTGACACAAACCTTCATGCTTTATTTGTGTATATATGATTTATTGTTTAAAAGCTAAAACCTATTTGATTTCTTAACCTTCCGACAAGAAAACAAATCATTGCAAAATTTTCAGATAGCCCTTACACCCAGTCATTTTCAATGTTCAAAAAAAGGAGTTTCTTTGTTTTTTCCATTCTTTTCTTTCCACTCACTTATTTAACACATGTCATGGTATGAGGGAAAAGCATGGGATGCCATATTGCAATTTTTGTTCATATCTTTCACCCTTTATAAAAACAAACATTAGGATAAGAGATCACATGCAGTAGTGCATGTGCTGTTTGTTGTGTTCTCTAAACCACACCAAAACCATAGTTTTTTTTTTCCCTCAGTAGGCCTCTGCTTCAACTGAGTAATATTCTCAACCCATTTGTCTTAATGCAAATTGATCAATTATAACCCTTTCTCAACATTGCTTCATCATGATGTTACTAAGGCAATGATGATGTTCTTTTCACAGAAACTATCCTTTTGGGTTTCACCAAGGGATTAAAAATAAGCCAAGTCACCATTTTGAGAATACTTTTCATCACTGCTGGATGATGCTCTCAATCTTGGTAACCGGTCATGGCAAGAATCATGATTTGTCATTTTGGTTACTTAAGGCAAAAGGGTCATTGTCCATGTAACCATTTCCAAATTTTATACCCCTTTTAAATTGATTACTGTCAAATTTTGTTGGCATTGCAAAAGTTATTAAGACACGCAATCTTAGTCCTCAATCCTCATATAATAAGGTGGGTGCTATCAATTAAATTAAGCTTCTTAAGATCATTGGAAGGGACCAACATAATTTTTACCCTTTAGTTACAAAGGTATGCCACAATGATTGTCCTTTTTTTATATAGAAAGTAGATACTTTCAAGGTAAGATTTTTCTCAAAAGTGTGTCATGTGATATAAAATGGTCAAACAAACAGCTATATTTTGTTCTTACAATATATTTATGCTGAAATCAAACCCTATTTATTCTCATGGGAATTGTGAGCTTTTTGACCATACTAGAAAAAATTGAAGCTAAAAGAACAACCAAGTAGTCTTAAATTACGCCACAAAATACAAAATGGCCTTAGAATAGGATGGAACTTATAATTGGCAACAAACAAATAGATAAATTCAGTTAAACTTCAGACAAAGTGTTAAAAAGATATAAATCTAATTTTGGGTAAATAAAGACAAGTAAAAATATAAATAATCATAAAGAAATTGAATATTATACGTTTCATCTTTGATATATAAAGATATAACTCAATCGACCTCTAAAGAAATTTTCTACGTTATTGTAGGGCTGTAATAATTTTGTGGGATTTCATAACGATTGATAATTACTTTAGACTTTGGATTTTCCAATAATGTTAAGTGGGTGTCTGTTTTTTTTAGGCCACTAGAGAGGTACTTAGTATTTTTATCTGTTTTTAATATTAATTTATGTTTGGTTGAGGTTATGTGATTTTTAAAAAACGATATTGCATTATTAGCATTCAAAACTCCCATTCTTCTCCAAAATTAAACCCAATTACTATTAAAAAGAAAGAAACCCCAATAATTTGACATCACGTTGTATTATACCTGTGTTCAAAATACTATAATTAAAAAAAATAAAATAAAGTGTGTCAAATTATTGATCACGTGATTGATTTTGGATCTTGGATTCTGAAAATCACCTTAAAAATTGAAGCACTTGAATAAATAACACTTATAATATATAAAGTTTATGAGGTTATATAAAACATTTTGTTTATCTCATTAGTATATCTATAATTTTTTTTAAACATTAAACCGAAATTCTTTTCACATTGCACTCATCTTTAGGAAATTTTTCATAAAATAAACAAAATATTACTTCCATTTTGCAAAAATTAAAAATAATCTTAAAAAAAGTTTTAAAAATTGCTGGCTGTGGGGTTCGAACCCACGCGCACTTATGTGCAGAAGATCTTAAGTCTTCCCCCTTAACCACTCGGGCAAACCAGCTTGTTGATTATAAATATGATTTTTCATTATATATACATTATTTGATGATTTTGACAAATTAATTTAGTTTAGTTATTTTATAAATAAACAATTAATATATAGTTATAATTTTTTATCACCATATGTCAACAAAGTAATTATTATATTTATTTTTAAAACTTTAATTTTTATTATATTTAATTTTAACAAAATTGTAATGTTTTCAAGACACTTTACCAATACATGATGACACATTTGTTTTAACTTTTATAAATACCTTGTCAATTTTCTAAATCTTCAATATATATACTAAAAAAAATAAAACCTTATACACTATTATTTTTAAGGTTCATTAATTGTTGAATAATGTAATTATTAGCATAGCTAAATATTTAATCAACTATTTATTAGATTGTTATCATTTTATAGTAATCTCAATTTCTTGATGTTATATGTTTTTCATCTCTTTATTATAAATATTCATATGCTTGTGTACATTATTTACTCTATTGTCCACTTTTTTCCCATCATCTTTCGTATAAAAACATAAGACAAATATTATTATTTATTAGAAATAAATATTATTAATAATTTAAGAAAATAGACATGGTTAATACTTTAAAAGAAAAATGAAAAATATTTTTTTTATTAAAATTACAATATGAGACTATGAGTATATTAATATCACTAAACATTATATTTTTTTATTAAAAACTCAATTTTAAATTTTCAATAAGTTATTAAGTTTTGATTGAATAATAAATAACATCATTAATTATTTTGATCCATCCATTTTAAATAAAAACAAAAGTTGTCCAATTCATTCATTTCACTAGTCATTCCTTGAATGCACTTTTTTCCTTATTAAAAAAATATTTAATATATAGTATGCTATGATATCTATAATGATAGCATATCATATATTTCAAAATATATAATTAAATATACTTTAATTTTAAATTTATACTTGTTTGTTCTACCATTTTTTTTTCGAAGTTTATCATAACTAGGGATCACAATTAAACTCGTACTCGTGGGGACCGACCCGTTCCCACCTTGAGTTTGACGGGAAAACTCAAGTTGACCGGAGGCGGGGTGGGGGCGGGTTCGGGTTTTCCGCTTTAAAAAGTCGGGCGGAGGCTGGGTAATACAATCCCCACCCCGACCCCGCACTTGCCCCGACTTTATATTTAAATCTAAATTTTAAAATATTAATATTTTAAAAGTATTTCTTTTTCTATTACATATAAGGTCATTTTTTTATATTTCATAAAAAAAATTCTTCTACCCACTTTTTAATTTTTTTGTCTTTTTTAATCTTTTATATCAATTAATTTATTACATTATGTTTTCTCTTACCTTTCAGTTTTTCACATTTCCTTAATCTCTTCCATCAATTTTTTTTTTAATCTTTTCAACCAATTTCATGAACACAAAGTTAATTTTTTTATTCTTTATCTTTTTCTAAATATTTTACATAAATCTTAGTAGTAACTAAATTTTTTTTATAATTTATATTTATTAGGTTTTATTATGTCATATTTTTTTATCTTATTATTCTTATTTATCATATATCAAATTTTATCTTAATAAAATAATTGTATTTTAAAGGATTAAAGGAATTGATAATTTAAACTTTTATTACTTCGAACTAATTGAATAAGAAATAACTTATTAAATATTTCCTTATAAACTATATATTTCATATTTTTAAATGACAACTTAAAAATGAATTAACTTATGTATATAATCAAATATTTAAATACAGTATTATAATAATAATATTATAAATATTCAAATATTTGAATACAGTGTTATAATAATAATAATGTTATAAATAAAAAATGATTAAATATTTCTTTTACATACCTATTTTAATATAAATATAATAAATTAAAATGTATATTTAATTAATAATTATTATAAATTATAAAATTATAAATATTTATTTATATATAAAAAATAGATAGTAAAATTAATTTCTTATAAAAATAATTATTTTTTTTAAAATAATATAGATCGGGGACGAGGCGAGGCGGGAACCCGAAATCCAAGTGAGAACGGGAATGAGGACTTAAATTCTAATCCCAGCGAGGATCGATGACGAGAACGAGAGATGGTTAAAAAAGTTGAGGGCGGGGATCGGGAGGCAAAACCCGCCCCGCCCCAGCCCCATTCTCATGCCTCTCATACCATTTAATTATACA